AGATGTATGTAAGATTTTTATCAATTTGCAGAATTTTTTTCATATTTGATATTTTTGGTATTATATATGTTTTCGAGAAAATTAATAAAAATGTGAATAAATATAAAAATAAAGTTATTGTATGTATTACATGTGCATAGGTTTTTTAGTGATTTGTGTAATTTTTTAATACTTAATATTTTTGTGAATATACATATTTTTGACAAAGTTAATAAATAAGTAGATCAATATAGAGGAGGGAAAATCATAAATATAGAAGTAGCGTTAAAATTAAAATTGTTTGATATAAATAAGATTTGGTATACATTAATATAAAATTGAATTATTAATTTATATATATTAGATAGATAGTAAAAGCATATAATATTGATTGGTCTATAGTAATACAAAATAGGATAATTGATTTATATATATTGATTAGATACACATAGAATTTGTATTTGTTTGTATGTATTAGATGCACATAGAATTTTTAGAGCTATGTATAATTTTTTGGTATTTAATATTTTTGTTAATATACACATTTTATACGTAAGATTTTCAGGGAGTTGGAAATTTTGTTCATATTTAATATTTTTGCTATTATATATATTTTGGAGAAAATTAATAAATAAGTGAATAAATATAAAAAAGGAGGGAAAATTATAAACATAGAAATAGGTTGACAATTATAATTATTTGATATAAATAACACATATTATATGTTAATAGAAAGCGGTATTATTAATTAATATATATTAGATACACATTCAACACATATGATTTTAATTGATCTACATGAATACAAAATAGTATAATTGATTTATATATATTAATTAGATACAGATAAAATTCTTATTTGTTTGTATGTATTAGATGCACATAGGGTTTTTACGAAGCTGGATATTTGTTTGATATTTAATATTTTTGTTAATATATGTACATTTAAGAAAAAGTTAATAGGATAATTATGATTCTTGGATAAGTCTCTGTCGAAGAGGTGCAAATGATAATTGTTTTCATTGAGGAGGGTGAATAGGATGACACTTCCTTCATGTAAGAAGTGTTTTTGCGCGAATGTTGGCCAACCTTCTGTTATTTCTATTCCTTCTAGCTGAAAGATCCATCGAGTTTTAGCATGATAGCAATTGATCACTCCAGTGTCGTTTGTTTGTATATGTGATGGTATATCACCGATGAGTACCTGAGATAGAAAATAGGGAGAAATGCAGTTGTATTATGGAGTTGGAGTAGCAATGTAATGTATGAATTATATTGATTGGAATATAATTTGTAGGAAACTGACCAAAGATTCAAGATCGTCCGCTCTAAGCATTATATAAAATGAGAAGTGCGTCATTAGTTTTTCTTCTTCTGTGAATAGTCCTTCGATCATAAGAAAAGGAATAGGTTAATTTATTTTGTAGTAGAGAGGTAAGATTGTTTTCGAGAAAAGGAATTACTTACTGCATCCAATGGGTGACTGTGAATGATTGAGGAGGATGTTCCATTCATGACAAACTAAACAGTTATTTGGATTATATATAGCAACTCTAAAGACCATGTATCCTATGTGTAGAAAACGAAGAATGGAGCCATTCTGTAGATCGTGGTCTTGTATGAATTTGTTCCATCCAGATAGTTGAAAGCTGGTATCGAGTTTTATGAACCATGTGCGAGTTCCATTTCGTATAATCATTGTGCTTGTCCAACAGTTCCTCAATTGTTGATAAAATGATGGATTAATTCTCTGGAAAGGAAAAAATCAGGTAAGCTATAAAATGTGTGAAAATGAAGGTGTGTAAGCATGAGGTTTATTGGTTTACCAATCCTTCTGGGTATGCTTGTCTATATTCCAGGAGAAATGAGGTTGGCGGTGAAGCTGAGATTATGATAGATACATATTTTATAGTTGGTCAGTGGAGAATAAATGAGGTACATATTAGTGAAGAAAATGTGAAGTGTAGAATATATAAATATAAGTTGAGAAAACTTACTGGATATTAATTCTGGTGTGGATAGTCGGATATGAATGATGCGAGCCAGTTTGAGGCATCAAAGTGTGATGACCAATATTGAAGATGGGGTTGAATGAATCTAGAACCTATAGCTCTTCTGAAGTTGGAACTTATTTCATATGTAAAGGTGTTATTGGGTGCTGGGGTTGCTTGGATGACTTGAAGTGCTTGTCCATTGATAGTATGAAGGTAAAACAAGCAGGTTATTAGCTGGTCATTTTCTTCTATTGTTTCTATTGTCCAATCTATAAAAGTTGGTATTGCCATGAGTTTTCTGGGGTTCTTGATTTAAGTTATACTTACGTATATTATTTATAGTGGTTTTTATTGGTGGATAACATGTGATATGAGTGGGTTAGTTTTTTAATTATTTTGATTTTTTCTTATATGTTGGTTTGGTAGACATGTGAATACACAGTAATGTATTGGAACAAGACAAGAAGCTATTATGTTGTTTTGTTAGTATTTTGATGAAACTGTTATCATGTGAATGTATAGTTATGTTGAGATGTGTCAGATGTATTGGAGAAAGCAGGGTTGACGAAGTGATATAAATAGTGTGGTAGATAATGATGTAGTTTTAGATGTGGTTTACCGGGTATTAAATAAAAGTAGATGCTGTTTTTTTTTTGTTTAATTGGTGCATAAAGGTAGTAGGTGTAATGCGAATGCATTATGTAAGTTTAGGTTTTTTTTTGTGCTTGTTTGATGAAAGTTGTCTTGGTTGTTGTTAGTTATGATGGAATGGAACCAGGTTGGAAGAAAAACTATTAGTAGTTTAGTGAAATTATTGTCATGTGAATGTATAGCACTGTTTGGTTGTGTCAGATGTATGAGGACGATAGGAAGAAGTCTGATAACTTAATATATGTACTATTTGATACTGGTCATAAAGTTGTTCATAATGTCTGATGAGGAACAAAACAAAAATATGTCCTGGTTTAGCTTGTACATAAAGTAGGTAACAGCAAAAACTGACTGATAGGTCCAGGGAATGAAAAGCATTAAGACAAATAGATAGCTATTTTATGCAGTCTTGTGGTGCTTAGATTCTTTGTCAAATTGTTGATCTAAGTTGCGCTTGACAGATGGCAGTGAGGCTGTAGTCTTTGATTGAGCCACAGTAGTTGCTTCAAATGGAGGAGATCCACTCGATGAAGTTTTTTGGTGGATTGAGCTGGGAGTGGCAATAGGTGGAGATTGATTAGTTGGAGTTGCAAGTTCCTCAGGCATGTCTGTTTTCTAAATGAATTCTTGTTGCTTTGACTCTGGAAGTCTTTGCTGACTTAGGTGCTCAAGGAGAAGATCAGATGATGGCTTATCAGCAACAAAGGCAGTGAGAAAGTAAAGAGGTGTAAATTGTCAGTGGGATGGCAGATATGATCTTATCTCGCAGAGCAATGTTTGCTGTTGGATCTTCTGATTGAAAAGATCAATGGGAATTGGGATTTTCTGTATTATTAAAAAAGTATAGATAAGGTTATAAAAAGAACGAAGTGTGTTAAATGTTTTATGTATATGTATTAGGGACTGGATATATACCTTGGTATATTTGTCATAGATTTCAGTAGCAATCATGTCAAGTAGAATTTCTGCGTAGTTTTTCTCGACAGTAGCAGTGATGTAACCGGTATCATCATGTATGTTGAGCTAGAACCTTGCTCTGCGAAAGTAATAAGTTTGAATTCAGTGCATTGTACGTGTGTAATGGTGATAAAAGGACATATATGTAATTTATGAATGGAAAATATATACTTTGGTTTTGGTTTGTTGTCTTTTGTTTCACAGAAGTTGCAATCAAATTCAATATCCATCATTGCTCCAGTGGATTTACCGCATGTAGTACAGTTAGAGACAAAGAATTTTTGCTCATAGTTGACTATCAATGGAGTTCCTTTGATGCAGAAGTTTTTGATCTGTTCAAAAGAGAAAATTGGAAGTTATGATTGAGGGAAGTGAATTATATATGTAATTTTTTTGGGACAGTATCTAAGGGGAAGAATGTATTAAATAAAAGTATGCATTTTACCAGTTCTGAGGAAGCAAGGATCTGCGAGATTGGTCTTATTTGACTGCCAGGAAGAGCAAGCACTTTCTGATTTATTTTTTCATAAAGCTTGTGGCTGATGCCTTTGTCAATATATGCTTTATTCTCATCACACCTGTGATATTTATCTAAATTTGTTATTAATTGTTATATTTATTTATGAAAGTTGAGGTTCTGAGCATGGAAAGTAAGGAATAGAGAAAAGTATACCAAATTTTTAGTGAAGCTGTCTGCTGTAATGGTGGATCAAGAATAATGGTACTACTTGGTCGAGTAGTAATATCAATTCCTTTGATTGTTATTTGTAAAAAGGGAAAAAGGAGAGAAAATAATCTGTATTATTAGCTATATGACTGTGTATAAAGCAATGAAACTATTGTTTGAATGATAAGCAAGATACTAACTATGATATGTTGTGATCTTTGGCCGAACAAGCAGAACTATCGGACATGTATGAATAATGTTCATGAGCTGAATCCCTTCAATGTAAACATATGGTTCCCACATGCATCTGGTGTATATGTAGGTAGTAATAGGCGAAGAAGATAATGCATTATATGGATAGGTGATTGGATGAAAATTTAAGTTGTATGCAGGTATATTTAACAAGATAAAAGAGCTGAAAAATTACTCAGGATTAACAGCAACAAATCTGCGTATTGTGCGTGGTCCTTTTGGAGTGGATATCATTGATTCTGGGAATCCTTGAATTAGAGCACATAGCAGATCTGCAGAAATATGATTATTTGATAAATGGACAGTTTTAGTATGGAAAAATTTAACATAAAGATAGCTCTATTTAACAAATTGGGACAGAAAAGTATAGTTACTAAATCTGGTGACATCATTGTTTTTGTATTTATCAAGATCCCAAAATGAAGTTAATGGGAAGCGATTGTCCAATGTCAGTTCCTTTGCTTTTTCTGCCTGTCTGATAAAAGTTGTTTTTGTGATTGTTAGTTGCCATGGGACAGAACCAGCTTGATTCTTTCATCAGTGATAGATGAAATAGCGGCGTTGCCAATGTAATAAGTGTGATAAAGATGAAGCTTGGTATCTGCGTAGTTTACATCTCTAGTGAATGCAATTCCTTGAATTGATTCATTCTGCAAACAAGGACAGATGAGTGGATTGAAAGTTGATGATAAATAAAGGGAATGATTGATGGCAGACAAGGGTGCTATATTGTAGTAGATTATTTTTAATAGGAGAGATTTTTTTTGTGGAACGAGCAAGCATTATTATAGCAAAGAGTAAGTAAAATGGTCTCTGTTATGGTAGCTATTTTTTTAATAGAAAGAAGTTCTAATATGAAACTTACTTGTTCATCTGCAAACATGAAGTGTTGGAATGCGGTCTGATCTTTTCCAGTAAAAATGTTTGTTTTTTTAATTAGGATGACCTTTATCATCCATTCACTTGATTTATCTGTCAACGTATTCACACCAGTGCATCTGTTATCCATATCTGCAATATAAAGAATTAGAAATATATTAATATAAACAGAGATATCTAAATATATACGATGGTCAATCTAGGTACTTTTAATTCAATATATTTGAGTTTGGTACTTAATCTTCAGCTGCAGCTGCTAAAATTTCTTGATAAACCACATTTCAAGTACAATTGTTGGACAAAGAGTCAGAAGAAACAGGTCTTAGTAGAATTTTAACATCATTAGCAGTTCTAGCTCTTGATAGTGCAACATACAATTGACCATGTGAAAACATTGGTTCTTTCAAATATAATCCTACAAAATCAAGTGTTTGTCCCTGTGATTTGTTAATTGTCATAGCAAAACATAAGGAAATTGGAAACTGAGTACGTTTGAAAGGTATTGGATATGACTCATCATTAGAGCTATGCAATGGAATGCGAGGAATGAAAACCTGTTTACCATAATGAATTCCTATAGAAATTTGAGCATGAATGACATTTTTGTTGAAATTCAAACATATCAAACGTGTTCCATTGCATAATCCTTGTGCTGGATTGACATTTCTTAGGAGGATAATTGGACAATTTTGGTTCAAAATCAATTGATGTGGAGGTAATCCTGGAGGGTGAATAGTATTCAAGAAGTCACCATGATCAGCTTGTTTGGTTGGATCTATTGTTTGATCAAAGCTGATATACTTGACTTCTTCTCCAGGAAACTTCTGAATTAAAATCTGATTGATTTCATGCACAATATCATTTGTTGTACTCAGAATGGTCCTGTTAATAAGAGCAGAATTGCCACACAAAAAGGTGGATAGAGATGGATAAACTGTGTCTATGAGAGTGGCTAAAGATTCTTGATCATTAATAAAAGGGATGATCATGGAAGAAGGCAAACTTATTTTATCATTTGCAATGGTTGCTTCTGTGCCATTTCCAATGTTGAGCAAAAGATTTGAAAATGATAGATCTAAAGATGCTCTCATGTTCTCAGTGAGTCGAATCTTCTGAAGGTGTGGCCAGATATATGAGTTGATGAGCGATGCAGAAATATAATCTTCTTTATGGCCATTCCTAACAACTGGTAGAGTTTGTCGAAAATCTCCACCGAAAACAATGATTTTGTCACCAGAGATGTGATCAGAATTGAGCAGGTCTCTAAGTAATCTGTCAAGGGATTCAATTGCATATTTTTTTGCCATTGCTGCCTCATCCCATATTATTAACTTTGCAGCTTTGATCAACTCAGAGATGGCACTTTGTTTGGATAGATTGCATGTGTTATTGCTTTCATGATGGAGCGAAATTTTGAAACGTGAATGAGCAGTACGTCCTCCTGGAAGTATCGATGCAGCTGCTCCTGATGTTGCGGTTGCTAATGCAATCTGACCTTTTGATCTAATTGTTGCGAGGAGACCTTTATAGAGAAAGGATTTCCCTGTGCCGCCAAGTCCATCAATGAAGAATGCAGCTGATGTATTTGTATTGACTGCTTCCATTATTTTCTGAAATGCAAATTTCTGACCACCATTCAACATAGATACTGTTGCTAAATCTTCTTTGGAGACAGGTATTACAAATTCAGCTTCTATTTCTTTTCCAGGATTGTTAAATTGAACATCTAGAATAAAGTCTGAGAAGCCAAAATCTTTTATGCTCTTTCCCATTATCTGTAAGTATTGATCAATTAACCCAAGGACTCTCATGATAACTGCATTCTCTGTTAAGGATGAATCTACTGCAATGTCTTCTAATAAGAATGGCTGAAATTTTGTCCACAGTTGCTATGGATTAGATGGTGCAGAGTGAACTAAAATTACTGCAAATAGCTGTCTTAAACACTGCGGCATTCCATAGATAACAACCTCTGATAAGCATTCTTCAGCTCCATTGTCTGTTTGGAGGAAACGTAGGTTTCGAATATGCATGAGCAATATTCTGAGATAATATCTTTCACCTTCAATTGGATGTGCCGTTATTACACGGCCAATGACCTGACCTCATTTTCTAGTATACCAGATTCTATCACCTTCATCCCAAACAAAATGCTAAGGAAATTCTTTGTATAGAAGGTTAAGATCTTCTGCTTCCTTGTTTGTTTGATTCATTGTAAAGAACTCCGTTAGCATTGTTCGTGTAAGCCTGTCATCTGCAATTACTTCTGTTAAAGACTGATTCTCATCAAAAGACATAGACCGGTAGTTTTCGAGGTGCAGATGAAGTAAAATGACTGAAGGATTAATAGCACTGAGATCGAAAGCATAAATTCTCCACATTGCTTCAGGAGCACAGACCTATCTGGCAGATTGAAATTTTTTTATCTCATCAATGATTCTATCTGTTTGTTGTGCTGTCAATTGATACATCACTCTGTCATGTCCTTTATATATATATTTGTATATATATTTGACAGCTTCAATAGCACAACATATTTCCACATTGATGTGACAATCATATTTAGCAAGAAGATATGGATTATAAGGAACAATCCATCGGTTGTCCAACTCATGTTCTCTGATGTACACTCTGCTGCCATCATCTCGTTTTCTGTATATAGGATAGGAATTTTTTTCATGTTTTGTGTATGCTGAGAAATTCTTTGGATAGTTGCTTCTGCACTTGTGATTCTGTCGCATGCAAGGATTACTTGGATTCATTGGTCCACATGGTCCGTGAAGCATATGTTTTATAACCAGAGAATATAAGTAAGGTGACAATCTTGTCATACTCTTATGGTGAAAACATCTTTGAATGCTCTTTTAAAATGATCAAGAAATAAGCATGCGGCAAACCTCTTTTCTGAAATTCAATAACATAAGTATAAGCAACAACATGACCAAAAAGATGCTTCTTGAAAAGATCTTCCTTCAATTGTTCTATTTTTGCACGAAATACTCGTGTAATCAAGTATGGCCGATTCTAAGTCTCATCTGGTTCCTTAAGATGGTTCTTTATTTCAGGCCAAGAAGGATTACTGGTCATTGTAAGGAAAATATCTGGCTTTCCATAACGTTGGACAAGGGTCATACCATCCACATATCGCCGTCTCATATCCCTTGGTCCTCCTATAAAACTTGTCGGCAGAATGATACGTTTTCCTACATCTGATGCATTTATCTGGCCCTTTGCTATGATATCGAGTAATCCTTGATATGCTTCTGTCCTTAATTTGTTTTGCTTGTTTATGTGAAATTCAAGACGTGATGTCTCTAGTTTGACATAACTATCAACAGAATATTGTTGCAGTAGACGGCAGATATGCAGCAAATATGATTGATCTGTATCTCGCATTTGAAACTTGTAAGCATAATATTCTCGGCATGAAACTGTTGGTCTTTTCTTTTTTTTCTTCTTAGCAGCTGTTAACATAACAAAAATGTAACAATTAGATATTTTATATTATAGTCAATAAAGAGTAAAAATTATAAGTGTTTGTAGGTGTACCTGTCTGTTCTGCATCAAATATTTGTTCTACATCATTACACTGATGAAGAGAAACCAGATTTTCGCTTTCACAGGTCTGATGAGGTTGGTTGTAAATCTGAGCCTTTGTCTTTTGAAGGATTCCAGGATGCCATCCAGTTTCTCCACGAGCAAATATCAGTGGATATTGTAATATGTCATAGCAACCGTAATGTTGCTTAAGTATTTTTTTGCCTCCTGCTTTTGTGCAGATTTCAATTTCTCTTGGACTGTCTCCATTGGTATTATCATTGTCTGACCAGATTGCTGCCACTTGAGAGACTGAAGGAACATTGAAAACACATTGATCTAATCCTGGATCAGATTTAAGGAAAATTCTGTATTTATCTATATCTTCAATGTCTGCTAATCTCCGGATAAACACAAAATAAGGGTTCTCATCAAGAATGGATTTTAGCTGTTGAACAATTGAGTCTCTGAATTTGCTGGATAGAGCCATTCTGTTCTGCATCTCATGTTCTTTATCATAAAAATACAGTTGGAGATTTGATGCCTTTTCGCCATCAGAAGGTTTTAATGGATTGACAAAATGATAGATTTGCCCTTGGACTCGAAATGTGTAGATGCCTCTGTTTCTTTTACTGAGATCCTTGTCATAGTGAACTCCCAGTGATGTAAAAGCAAACATATTGTTGTAACTCCTGATACATTGTCTAAATTCGATAGCTTCAGGAGCATTTCCTCTATAAAGTTCCACAAGTTGATCTGGCATTTTTGTCTATGCTAGACGAATTTCTCCTGATGCACAACAAAATCTTGGTGGTTCCATATAGAAACGCTTAGCATGACAATGTGGACAATTAGGAACAGATGGGAGGATAGCTGGTTCTAATGGTATTTGCTGGAGCAATGGTATATTCTTTGTGCGTCGCATTTGAGCTAAGAGTGTTAAGCATGAATCTGAATGAGTTATAATATAAAAATAGATAAAGTCTATTGTATCTATTAGGAGATTAAAACAATGAAAATGGTATGGAGGTTTCTGTCGCACCAATTCGATTTTGGACAAGTGCAGAGGAACTTGATGGTTCTGCTACTACTGTTGACTGTGCTGAAAATTAGTTATTGTAATTTCAGCTATGGTATTGATGTGAAGGTTAGAATGTATTTTAGACACGTGCTATAATAATATAGGATTAAGTGTTTATTGATATTACTGGAGTAAACAAGGAACGTACAAGTGTAGATTGGGCAAGTGAACCATTGAGGGACAGCATCAGATGAAGGGGAATCGAAAATGTTTTCTAGGACTGGATCATTTGCTGCAGGAAGATGATCTATATATATATATATAAGCATTTTATGCGATATTGAACTAAGGAATAAAAGAATGGCAAAAGTATATGAAAAAAGGCCAGAAGTGAATAAATACATGGATCAATTGCAGATATAGCTGATGTAGATAAGCTGTCCAATATATGAGGAAGTGGCATGACAGGAAAAGGAAAACAGGAAGAAGGACTTGGAACAAAAGGTGAAGACTGGCAAAAAGCATCAAAAGGTCTATAAGGAAAGGAGCTGATAGCTGTTGTTGCAGTAGTATAAATAGGTACATCAACTAAATGGCCTTCATATCCAGAACAAATAGGAACTGATGGAACATTTGCAATGTTAGGAGTGCTGGATTCATCAACTGCAAAAGAGTCTGTCTTTTGGTTCTCTATCTGTGTAGCCTGCTCGCGTCGTCTGGCTATTTCTGCAGCGTATCTGTCTCGTCGTCGTTGATTTTTTTGGATACGACATTCATCTTGAGAACAAATTTTACGCTTTCGAGGCATACTAAATAAAATTAATGGCCAAATAGGAGTACACGTTATAATTAATGATAGCTATCATTGGATATAAGAAGCAAAAAATGAATTCAGTTGGTATCAGCAATCTGAGATTATAGAATTGAGAACTACCATGCACTCATAAAATAGTAAAATGAATAATATGTAAACATAAACATAAAAATTGTAAGACAGTAGGCGGAATATAAAATGGAATACATCACCTTTAATTTGATATGCAGCAAGCACAACGGAATGGAACAGTGAGGGAAATGAGAAAAAGTATGCAATTAAAATGTAGATCATAGCAAAGTCAGTGAAAAGGAAAGATAAAAAATTATAGTAATAATAATGATAATTATAATGAGTGAAAAAATAAGTCATTATAAAATGAGCAGCTCCTAAATAGGAAAGCATCATGCATGCAGATGCACGTAAGGGAAGAAAAAGTTCAAATCAAAAAATTATGACATGCATCAGGCATCAACATCAGACACGCAACAAAAAAAGACATAAAATACAAACAAAAGGCAAGAAAAATAGAGGAGTACAAAGGAATATTTGTCTGATAGGACACAATAAATGAAGACAGAAACAGTATGAAAGGCAGTTAAATGTTCGAATGAAAGAACTGATAGAAGTCAGAATCTAGAAGTCTATTAACGGGAAACAAGGAGAAGAATAACAGCTAGGCAGAAAATTACTGAAAAAAAGACAGGACTAAAGAGTAAAAGATCTATTAGGAGGCAAAAGCAGTCATAAGAGATATAAATGCATATTCATAAATATAAAGGGAAATAGGCCATAATGATAAAACATGCATGTGTCATGGCAACAGGTCAAGCAAAAAAGACAAAGCAAAGCATTAACGCAAGAAAAGCATTGGATACATAGATGATACAGGTAAATCTAAAATGACCAAAAAATGGAAAGAAACACTGTTAAGACGGGAACTGAAGTATACAAAGTAACTTACCAGGCAGGAGATTGAGCAGAGAAGACGCAATACAATAACAAAAAGTAACAGTGAAAGTGAGCCTCAATAAACCAAAGAAAAAACTGAGCTGAGAACCGGAGTCAACGGAATAAGTAAAATAATTACACAGCTAATAAAAGAAGGTACTTGGTGGCAGTAAAGATCCAACGGACAGGGAAGTAGAAGGATTAAAATCAAGCATAATGAATGGTGATAAGATAATGTATGTACCAACTAAACATGTGGGTCTATTTAATGTAGATTAGATGGTGAAAAGAATTGATGTGAAAAGAATGAACAGAAATAGTGACCATGCAAGTAGATGAATGACAGTTGGCCATAAAGTAATGTAAATAGTAAATAAACGCATGGGTACATTAAATGAAGATTAGATGGTGGTAAAATTTAGCATAAGAAAGAGTAAAAGAAAAGAAAT